AGGAGTTGGAGGTTGCTGTGAGTTGTGAGCTGTGTGATGCCACAGCACCCCTACCAAGGGCGATAAAGGTGAAACTCTGTCTCTACAAAAAAAAAGGAAGAGTGGGGCCTAGGTCTTACCATGGGAGGCCTACCCTGCCCAACATGGCTGCCACTGGCCAGTCGGCAACACCACTGAGGGAAGGATTTTTAATTTTATTTAACTTTTGTTTTAAATTTAAATGGCCACAAGTGATCAGCGATTATCCCAGCAGTCATAGAGAAAGCTTATTACAACGGGGAAGGAATGAAATGGCTAGAAGAAGTGACAGCCTGGGGCTGGGCCTGTGCAAGGTGGTCAGGAAGGGACAGGGAGGGGCTCAGGGAAGGGTTCCTGGGTCTATTCAGAAGCTCCAGGTCCATGAATAAATGAATAAATGCTGACACTACAGAGCTGAGCTACAAGACACAGCTCAGAAGTGATGTCAGGGACAGCATGGGAGACTGAGCATGGAGCACATGTGGCCCGGCCGGCAGCTCCTTTCTCTTCTCGCATAAAGCAGGGTAGTGGGTTTAGAGCTTCTCTTCAGACCTATGACTGTGTGGGATGGTCGGGCTGAGCTTCTCTCATCAGGCAGCCACCAGTGTGGGCAGCAGGAGGCAGCTGCCTCAGATCCCCCACCCCAGGACCCCAGGCTGACCCCTCCTAGGGCCTCTGTGAGGACTATCTTTCCCAGGACCCCAGGCTGACCCCTCCTAGGGCCTCTGTAAGGACTGTCCTCCCCAGGACCCCAGGTTGACCCCTCCTAGGGCCTCTGAGGAGTGGCCTCTGCTGTCCTTGGGTTAAGTTCCCCCTTAGAGGTTGCTGCTTACCCGCCTTCCACCCTGCCACATCCATGCTGCAGGGCAGCCCACAGGCCTGCTCCCACTGCACCCCAGTTTTATGTAGGTAGCTCCTGGGGGCCCTGACCATACCTAGAACACGGAAGTTCCCAAGACCATGTGCATGGGTCCAGCGAGTCCACCTTAGCTGCTCCCTTCCTGAGGCTTATGGTCTGAGAGGGTCGCAGGGCCACCTCCTCTGAAGCAAGGTGTGATCCCCTGGTCACCTATCCCCTGTGCTCTGAGGGTTTGGCTCCTAGGAGGCCTGGAAGCCACTGGTTACAGTGAACACCACAATGACCTGTGAGTATGGCCAGACCCAGAGGGACCAAATTTTCCCCACCACCCTAAAAGCCCAAGGCTGACACTCCACGCATGTGGTGCCCAGGATGGGACCCCCATGGACATGGAGGTGTGGTGGAGTCATTCCACACTCACCTCAGTGAGTCACTTTCACGAGACCAGTATCTGCTTTATGTCAACATACATGCTCATGTGTCCACACAAAACCTGTCTCCTTCATGCTAATATTTCAGAATGATCGGTACAGCCAGACACGGCGGCTTAATGGAGTACTTGTCCTTTACAAATGGTAACAGAGGGGGATTAAGATCAGGACACACTATCCTTATTAAACTTGTAGAACATGTGATCCAACACAAAATGGTTGGCATTTCCTAAAAGCACTCTTCATCACAGGCCCATCCCTTCAATTTGCAACGACATTTAGAACACACCTGGCTCTACCCCACCTTCCTGCCAGGGGAGGGGCTGCTATGAGAGGAGACCCCTCTGGTCCCCATGCACACCCTCTCTTGTGGGTCCCCTGGACACCGGCCACTGTTGGCCTTGTCCACCAAAGGGCAAAGCCTGCAGCATGGAAGGTCTGGATTTCAGCAGCCACTGTTCTGGCCGCGACTTCTAGAGGACAGTCCCCCCCCTGCTGTACATGTGTGCCTTTGGGGCCCCCTGTTCCAGCTGCAGACAGAGCCTGTGTCTGCCCGCCTCTTCACACCTGTGTTTCCCAGGAGCACACTGCTGTGTGGGCTGCTGGAAGACAGCACTGTTTTCTTAGGCTGCCATAAAAAATGACTCACTTTTCCAGAAAGGACATGCTTAGGGCAACACCCCTGGGGAAACTGGGGTGGACACTGTGTCTGAGGCCACCTGCTCACAGGAACCCACACACAGCTGTGGCTTTATCTCAGACACTCCTGGTTAAGCCATGTGAGACAATTAAACACAGAAACGTCCCACAGTCCTTTTCTTCTGAAGCCTCTCCCACAAGGGCCATGTTCAGCCTGAGCGAGGCTTTGTCACACGAGGGGGCACACAGTTGGCAGGGCCAAGGCTCCATCAGAAGAAGGGAAATGTGGGGTAACACACACACCACCCCCATAAACACCCCACACCACACTGTGCACCCCACACACTGTACTGCATACTCACACCACATG